GGAAGGCAGGGGCCCTGCGCACAGCACAGAGTCAGCCGTTTGTGGTGCCCCCCCCCCCGCCAGCACAGCTGCCAGGAGCAAACGTCTGCTGTTCCCAGAGCGTTTTGTATGCTTTGAGTAGAGTTTGTTGGCTCTAAAGTGTGTGGCCTGTTTCTTCATTGTGAAGACAGAGGAGAGTGGGTGGGGGCAGGGGTGGTCACCTCCCTTCCTGGCCCTGTAGGTCTTGTGGGCTCCCGGGAAGTCTGTGGTGCCCCTTCTGAGCTCCAGCCCCAACCCTGAGCCCACCCCTGGTCAGGACACCAGTGGGATTCTTGAGTCTTTTTTTTTTTTTTTTTTTTTGAGTCCTTTTTATTGGGCTGGAGAGGGGTCTGGTCCTCAAGCCGGCTGCTCCACCTCCATGAGGAAGTGCTCAAGGTCCTCGTAGAGGCTGTTGGAGCTGGACAGGCAGAGGCCGAGGCTGCTGCTGTCCAGGGAGGACACCCCTTCTCGCTGCACGCACTCCAGGTGTGCCCGGCACAGCCGTGGCTCCAGCTGTGGGGAGGGGAGGGTGTCGTCAGGCCACAAAGGGGCTGCATGCGGCCTTGCCCCCAGGACCCCAGGCCTCACCTTCACCAGGACCAGGCTCTTCTCCTTGGGCCTCCCAGCTGACAGGTCCTGCCCAAAGCCCAGGTAGATGGTGTAGTGTGGGGAGCCCCGACGCCGGCGCGCCCGGAACTCCATCATCTCTGCAGGATAGGACTCTGGTGAACAGGGCCCCAGCAGGACAGGAGGGGGCAGGGACGGCACGGCCCCAGGTCAGGTGCGTCACTGACCTCGGAAGAAGGTGCTGAAGTCGAAGATGGGGGTGTCCTGGTTCCTCTGCAGCAGGCGGGGGGTTGTGGAGGGACTGGCAGAGCCCAGGGGCCCGCCCACCTCCCAGTAGACCTTGCACTTGCCCAGGCGCCGGGCCCACAGCCCGTGCCCCCGCAACTCCAGCTGCAGGCCAGGGGCCACGTGCTGCAACAGCTTCTCTGTGTAGTGCAGCTGCTTCTGGTCAGGGAGCTCGGCCGGGCTCGGGAAGGCCACGTGCTGGGGCTCCGTGGCCGTGGCAGCCGGGCTCGGGGGCCCGTACAGGAACACGAAGCTTGGATGCCACACCACGTCCTGCAGCACTGTGCGGCCCTTGTACATGATGGTCACATCCAGGGCCCTCAGGCTGGGCTCTGCCTGTGGTCCGGGCTGTGAGCAGCTGGGCCTGAGCAGCACCTGCTCACCGGCCCCTGGGGGGCAAGGCTCCACCTCTTGGGGGGGCTGCCAGGGCTCCAGGGCCGGGGCTGAGCCTGCATCTGGGGAGGAAAGCTTGAGCTGGCACCCGGTCCCCCAGCCCCTCCCTCCTTCACACACCCCTGGCTCCTCTCACCTGTCACCTGGGCCTGGTGCCAGGGGGCTGTCTCGACTGCCCCTGGCAGGGACGGCTCCATGTCTGGGAGCTCCGGGCCTGAGGGGGAGAATGACGGCTGGGAACAGCTATACTGGCCCAGCTGTGGCTGGCTCCTTCCTCACTCCCACCCCCACCCCCACCCTCTCCCTCTCCACAGGGACTCTGCCATCCTACCTGCTCCTGACCTGTAGCATGGAACCCTGCAAGGCTGAGCACCCCCACCCAACACAGCCTCTCACCAGGAGCCTCTGGGGGTACTGGGTCCACCCCCCATGCAGCTTCCAGCAGATGGTCCTCCAGGCAGCTCTGCTCTAGAGCCTGGAGCAAGAGGTCCTCAGCATTGCCAGCTGGGCCAGAAAGGTGGCTTGGGGCACAGGGCTCAGGGCTCAGCCCGAGCCTAGGGAGCCCGCCCTGCAGGGGAAGAGAGGGCCAGTGTAAGCAGCGCCCCAGCCCCATGAGAAGTGGCAGCCCCGACCTGGGAGCAAGGAGGGCAGAACGATCTTACCAGCAAGGGTAGGGCATCTTCAAGGGTCTTCTCCTCCCCCTGGTGAATGCCCGCACCTTCCGAGAGAGAATTGGGATCAGGGGAGAGTGGGATGAGACGCTGGAGTGGGACGCTTGGGTATGTGTCCCTGGGTAGGCCCTCAGAGCTGGGTGTCCCCTGCCATTAATCCCAGCAGGCCAAATCAGCTTTCCCTGCCCTCCCCAACAACCTGGCACCAGCCTCTTGGAGGCCAGTTTCTGAAAGCACGAATCTGCCCCAGAGGCTGTCCATCCAGTGTCTCGCAGCACCGTGTCTCTGCCCTGAACGTCCTGCCCCCTAGACGGCTGCCCTCCCCTGGGGCTCCTCACCTCTCCACCCCAGCTTGGAGCTGAGCCCGTACACTTTATGTGGGTCAGTGGGGTCCCCCGAGTTGTCTTGGAGCATCACAAAGCGCTGCGTGCTGCGCAGCGCACAGCGGAAGTTCGTTTTCCAGCTGGCGCGGAGTGCGCCCTCCAGGGCCAACTGGTCACCTCCGCCGCCGCCACTGCTGGGCGGCCACCTGCCGCGGGCGACAGCCCAGGCCTGGGGAGGGGGGTAGAAGGCGGAGCCTGGGGGCGCGGGCCAGGGCCTGGGCCGGCCCTCCCACCTGGTTGGGTTGGGGTCCCACCTTGAAGATGCGCGAGTCGGCCTCTCCCAGGTCCTTCCGCGCGAAGTGCTTCCAGGGCACGCGGAAGCGTGTGCGGGCCGCGTCCAGCCACCGCAGGCCTTCGTAGCGGCCGCTGCTGACCTCCCCCAGAAGCCAGTCTCCGAACAGCAGGCGCGGGGGCCCCCTGCGGGCGGGGCGACCGGCCGGGTCAGGGTGCGGGGCAGGCGGTGTGGCCGCGCACCGCGGGGTGGGACGGGCGCTCACCTGTCAGGAGCCACGGCCATCGCTCCCTGCAAAGGACTGGCGTGGAGAGGCAGGTGGGCCCTCCGCGGGGAGGGGTGGTCACGGCCGGCAGGCAGGTGTTGGCACAGGTGGGAAGCGGTAGGTGCTGTGGTCCAGCTGTTACAGGCGTTGGGACCACAGATGTGGTTGGGGGCTGATGGCCACGACGTTGCCGAGGTGTGGGGTTCTGGGCAGCGGTGGCGCTGATGTGACCACAAATGTGGGGGCGCACACACGTGAAGTCACAGGTGTTGAGCCAGCACCCAGACCCGGGTGGGAGGGCGCTGGGGGGCCCTGCGGAGACACCACCAGAACGGCCGCGGGGTGGGGCGTGCCCGGCGCGCCGGGAAAGCGAAACCGCGCGCGCCGGGAAAGCGAAACCTAAGCCCTAAGCCGGGAAGTGAGGGCTGCGCTGCTCGCGACCTGCGGCCTGCGGCCGCTCAGCGTGCAACCCCCACCTCCCAATCCCGCCCCGACTCCGGGACCGGACCCTCCCCGCCACCGCCCTGCTCTGCACTGCCCTCGCGCTCCACGCGGGCCAGGGGTCCGAGTACCTGCGTGCCGGGCCGCCGCGGCGGGAAGGTTCGTCTCCCCGAGAGGCTGGGAACAAGCGCTTTTATGGGGACGGGCCGGGGGCGGGGCTGCAGCTGCAGCCGAGGAAGTCACGTGCTCTGGCGGCGGGTTCCCTTGTGTGAGGGAGTTCCCCAGGACCCCCCGCGCAGGTTCCTGGGTGCGGGTGGGGGTCGTGCAGGAGCGGCAGGAGTGGCCGGTCCTGCGGGGTCCAGTCACTCCTCTCCCTCAAGGCGCACCCCCGGCACATGCAGGGTCGGGGCAGGGGGCCTCTGGCAACTAACGGGGGTGGGGAGGCAGCGGGGTAAGCTGAAGACCCCACACAAAACCAGGCTCTTCTTTTTTCCAGGAAAGTGGGTCATGGAGGAGGGCGTTGGGCAAGTGGCAGCCCTACCGTTTGGATTCTTTTTTTTTTTTCTTTTTAAGTAGGCTCCACGCCCAGAGTGGAGCCCAACCGTTGAATCTTTGCCGTGAAGACCCGAGCTGAGATCAAGAGTGGGCTGCTCAACCGACTAAGCCACCTAGGCCCCCCCTTGGGATTTTTTTTTTTTTTTAAGATTTTCATTTTATTTAGAGAGCTTGTGGGCATGCGAGGGGAAGGGAGGGGCAGAGGGTTAGGGTCTCCGAGCGGACTCCCCACTGAGGGCAGAGCCCTACCCCAGCTGGATGCCGGGACCCAGAGATCATGACCTGAGCAGAAATCCAGAGTGCACCAGGTAACCGACTGAGCCAACCAGGTGCCCCCACCCCGCTGCCTTTGGAATCTTGAGAATTGTTCAGACAAGAATACTCAGACACCCTTGAGAATAAGACATTTGGAAAGGAATTCGTGGTGCCTTTTCATTAGGAAAAACACCGATGACCCCGAAGGGACAGTGTGGTGGTGAAGTCCTGCCTGCGGTCCTGTCCCGACGAAGCCAGCAGAGGGGGCTCTGGTTGCCCTCACAGCCGGGCCCACCTGCCCCCCTGGCCCATGGCCTGCAGCCACTGCTCCCAGCTCCCCTCACCCGGGGAGCCCCTGCACAGAGCCACAGGTCACAGTCCAGGCGCCAGGGCCCGGTGCCTCTTCGCACCGAGCGCCGGGCGTTTCCTGCCCCGACGGGACCTCACAGGCGCACTGGCTGGCACCCGGAACTTGCTTTCCAAAATGAGTGTTCCTGAGGTGGCTCCTCAGTTACCCGCAGGCCAAGAATCTTCCTGTCGGGTGGGGAGGTGGGGGATCCGCAGTGCGGGGTGCCCCCCTCCTGCGACCGTGGTTAGGCCAGGAGAGGAACTTGGGCCGCCAGCTGGCGCTGGCCTGGGAAGCCCCGCGGACGGCGGGCGCAGCAGGTGGTTTACGGGAAGCGGCGCTGCGCTCCAGGCAGGGGCAGGGGGAGGGCCCAGCGCACACCCGGCGCGGCCGCGGAGGACCCGGGGCCGGAGGGGGGCGGGGGTGTGTGGCGCGGGCGGGCCACGCCGTCCCCTCCCACGGCCGGCAGCTCCGGGGGGACTCGCGCGCAGCCGAGCTTGGAAGTTGTCGCTTTATTGTGCGCCGTGGCGTGGGGGCGAGCGGCCCCGGCCGACCTCAGGGCGGCCCGCGGGGGAGGCGGGGAGCCGAACTAGACGTAGGTGGAGCCGGCGTCCGGCGCGTCGTCGTCAGCACCCGCGTCCGCGTCCTCGTCGCTGCTGACCTCGCTGCCAGAGTCGGCGGCGCGGGCCGCGTCTGAGGCGGGCGTGTTGAGGACCACCACGTCGGCCTCAGCCCCAATGTCCTCCCCGAACCACACGGCCTTGTAGCCGCCCTCGGGCCGCCGTTCTTTGGTCAGGATGGACCTCACAGCCGCTGGGCCGCCTCCATCGCGGGCCACCTCGGGGGACTCTGGGGCGGGGCGCGCGGCAGCGGCGCTGGGGGGCTCTGGGGGCGCAGGCTCCGGGGGCTCCGGGGGCTCCGGGGGCTCTGGGGGCTCCGGGGCCGCAGCCCGGGTGGGGCCAGGTGAGGAGCGGGGAGCTGGCGCCCAGTTGTCCTCCTGGGGGGCAACAAAGGCCTGGTTGTCAAAGCGGAGGGGCTGGCGATCCTGGGGAGGGGACAGGGACAGCCAGGGCATCAACCAGGACCCCAAGCCTGCGCTGGGACCCCCACCCCTGGTGCCTTCCCCAGAGACAAGGATCCAGGCTAGTCCTTCCTTTCTCTCCGCCTCTTTCGGCCTCCTCCCCATTTTGTGGACTGTGATGTCTACACCCCATCTTTCCTCACCTCTGCCCCCTCCCCCCCGCCTCTCCCTCTCCATCTGTCCCCCTCCGGTCCTGGCACCCCAACCCCTAGGGCCTCACCAGAGCTTTTCCGGAGCAACACTTGAGCGGCTGGCCGTAGTGCTTGTGGATGAGGATAAGGAGGGCAATCAGAGCCAGAAGAAGCAGCGCGCCCAGCACCCCGCCCAGGGCCGCCATGTCCACGACAGAGAAGCGCCGGTCCTCAGCTTGGCTGATCCCTGGCTCGCCGTTCCCCGGAGTGCTGCCTCCTCCAGTCTGGGGTGGCCCTGCCAGCAACACACCACCCACTTACCGTTAGCACCCAAGCTCTTCCCCTGCTGACCTGCTCCAGGCTCTGGATGCCCTGGCAACAAGCCAGGCCTGGTATCCTCCCAGAGCTGAGGTTCTGGGGAATGGCACCACTCACCCCCCAGCTGAGGAGCTGTGTGTTCCCAGGGGCCCTTGGGGAGGCTGCTGAAGGAAGGGAGGGGAGATGGGGGTCAGTGCCCACCAGCTCCCAGTGGAAGGTGGGGGTCCAGCACCATAGGAAGGGCCATGAAGGCAATGCTGGGGCCCGTGGAGAGAACAGCCTGGAATTGTAGGGCCCCCTGGACCCCAAATCTGGCTTCTGCCCCATCCTCCATACACCTTCCCCAGGTTACCTTGTCGGGGCCCCCAGAACCTGTCTCTGTCCAGGCCAGAGCAGAACCCCCCTAGGATTTCATGGTCAGTGTGGTCAGGCTGGGCCACCCTGGGGTGGGCCCTGCCCTACTGTGAGTCCCAGGACCACTCGGAGTATGAGTCAGGGAATGTAAGGGTGACTCTGGGGCAAATGGGAGGTGCTACCTGAGGTCTGTGGGGTCCTGCTGGGCCCAGGGGGCATCGGCTGAGAGGTTCCTGGCTTTAGCGTCTGTGTTGAGCCCCCGCTGGGTGAGGCTGATGGGAGGAAGGTGCTGGTTCCCACACTGGGGGGCCCCCCGGGCGTAGATGAGGCAAGTGGCCTCAGAGTTGTGCTTGAGGGGAGATGTGGGCCAGTGCCCCCCCCAGAGCTGGTCGTAGAGGGTCCCTGAGAGGGCCCTGGAGGTCTGGGGGCTTCCAAAGTGGTGCTGCTTGAGGGCCTGGTTGTTCCTCCAGCCTCTGGGGATGTGGGGGTCTCTGGGGGACCGGAGGGACCTGGGGGGCCAGGGACAGGATTCGGGCTTGCCTCTGCCCCCAGCATGCCAGCCCCAGGGAAGCCACCACCTGGGCTGAGCCGTCGCCTGGGGTGGGTCCCGCTGACTCACCTGTGGGCGGGGGCTCCTCCCACTCCAGCACCTGTATTTCCACCACAGTGGTTGCTGTGCCTGCAGTCACTGTGTTACTGGCCTCGACCTGGAGCAGAAAGGGGGCTTGTCCCTTGCAGGCCCCGCCTTAACCCCTGCCCCTTGGAGATGCCCCCCTGCCCTTACCTCTGCATAGAAGACCCCCTCATCGGCCAGCAGGGCAGCGGTCAGCACAGTCTCGCCATCCATCCGGAAGTTGGTGTTATTGGTGATGCGATATGTGATGGCAGAGTTGAGGTCCTGGACACTGCCCAGTGAGTCCTGGGTCCAGGCTGCCCCCGTGACCCCCCCAACCCACCTGCAGTGGCGCTGGTGCCTACCGGAAAGTCAGGGTCCTGGGCCCAGATCCTCAGAGGCAGGGAGGGGGCGGTTGTGTCTTTGACCTCCACGCCTGCTCCAGAGCCGCGCGCCACCCAGCCCTGGTACCGGCTCTTGGGGAAGTAGGGTAGGCTCCCAGTGGCATTTCGGGCCTCGATCCTGACCCAGGTCACCGAGTAGCGGGCACGGTCTGCCTGTTCACCCTAGGGGTAAGGGATGCCTCAGCGACCAGCGGGTCCTTGAAGGACAAGTCCTGCAGCCTGAGGCTCAGGAATGCCATGGAGGCTCAGGGCACCCACCTTGACCAGCAGAGTGAAGGTCTTTGGGCTGGGGACGCTTCTGGTCATGGTAAGGTTGCCCGAGTCAGCATCGATGGCAAACGTGCCATCTTGTCCTGCGAGGTTGGTGGGAAGGCTTGGCCTCTTGCCCCCTCCAGTGGCCTGAGGGCTAAGGTCCCAGCTGGCTCTGCCCATATGGCAAGTCCCCTGGGATGTCCTCAGCCCAAGGTGGGGATGGGGCACAGGATGGGGAGAGAAGCAGGTGTCTGGCCCTCACTCACCCTGCATGATGCTGTAGAGGATGCGCTGGTTGATGCCCTGATCCCCGTCCACAGCGTGGATGGGCCCAGGATGTAGGACGAGGGGGGCTGGCTGCAGGGACAAGGACAGGAGGAGACGCCGTGGGGCTGCTGTGACAGCCCCAGCTCACCCTCCGGCTCCTTCAAGGGGAAACTCGTCTTTTGCACGATTGCCCACCACACGCCTCACGATCCGTTGCTACTGAGTTAATTTGCTCAAAGACATCTGATTGATCTGAATGACAGGAGTTTCAAGAGCTAACACACACGGGACAGGGAGAGGTCACGGGGAGTCAGACTCGGGCCTCTCCGTAGGGTGGGAGGCCCTGGAGCCCGTGTCCAGGCCCCGCTGTTATCCGGTGCCTCCCTGGGCCTCTCAGGCCGGAGCAGGGACGTCAGCTGGTCAGAGACGCAGCTGCCCCCTGGAGCAGCGCCGTGGCCCCTCCACACCACCACCCTCCCAGCCCACTTCACTGGGTTCCCAAGGCGCTGCCTGGCTCTGCCCCAGGACCGCCGCACCTACGTTCACAGGGTTTGCTCACCACTCACCACCGCGTGGTTGGGTGGGATTGGCTTTCAGAGGAACGTTCGTATGAAAATCGCAACCAAATTTGGCCCCATGGCCCCCAGGCCCCACCCCGATGCCCATCCTGCCCCTTCCTGCCCCCAGTACCAGTTTGTGCCCCAGGGGGACAGCCCCGTGGTACTCAGCGTTGATGCAGATGTAAGGGTCTGAATAGCCACAGGGCAGGAACCAGGGAGGGCGAAGGTCAGCAGGCTGCACCTTCAGTTCCAAGGTGGCTGTGGCCGTGTGGCTGGGCTCTGCATTCTCCTCCTGTGTGTCCTGCAACAGCGGAGCCTGGCTGGATCAGGCCTGGGGGTCCAGGGCCGGGGGCAGCTTGGGTGGGGACCTGAGCATCCGGGCCTGCTCACCCGCACCAGCAGCCGGAAGGTAATGTTCTGCCATGAGTAGAAGTCCAGTGGCTGGTCCAGCCGCAGGGCAGGGAGGTTGGTACCCACCAAGGAGAAGAAGTTACTGGCGCCCTGGGGAGGCAGAGGACGGGACTCAGCCTGGGACCCTGGGAGGACACAGAGAGGGGGGATCCTTGAAGGGGGGGTTGGAGTTGGTGTAGGGGTGGGGGGGATGACACTGACCGGGGTCACCTCCTGGAGGGTATAGAACAAGATGTCATCCTTGTCGAGATCCCGGGCCTCCAGTTCCGTCTCAGGGATGACAGTGGTATTCACTTTAGTGTCCTGGGGGATGCAGGGGGAGCGGTTTGGCTACACCCTTGACCCCCACGGACGGATCCCTGAGGCCAAGCCGCTGACCCCTCACCCCAGGCTCCTCTCACTCACCTCAGGTATTTTCTTCACCTTGATTTTAAAGGGGAACTCGGGCGCGTTGTCATTGATGTCCAGCACGAACACCAGCACTCTCAGCTGGGTCACCTGTGGGGACAGGGTGGAGTCAGCAGCAGTGTGCTCTGATGGACACGACAAGCCGTCTGCCCTGGGCCGCTGCTCTGCAGGGACTACACACAGACCACAGACAGCAATTCTGTAGCACCCACGGTGGCCAATGCCCTGGAGGAAAAGAGCACAGGGGCTGGGTGGGGTGCGGGCGCCGGCAAAGTCCCAGATGAGAACAGTGGTAAAACACTTGAATTGCTTCAAAAATAATTCTCAAAGAAAAGGAAGAAAGGAGAACCCATAGATTGAAAGAGGCTTAAGAGGGGAGCCCGGCTGGCTCAGTGGGAGGAGGAAGTGACTCCTGATTTCGGGTTGTGAGTTCAAGCCCCGTGTTGGGGGTAGAGATGACTTAAACAACCAAACTAGAAAGAAAAGAAGGAAGGAAAGAAGAAGGGAGGAAGGGAGGAAGAGAGGGAGGGGGGAGGGAGGGAGGGAGGAAAGAAGGAGGGCGCTTTAGAGAAGTAGCGGCCAGTCTCAACAGGTGGGCTTTGCTGGGGTCTCTGTTACTGTGGGAAAGGGCGGACATCAGGTGTCATGTGACGCTGAGGAGTTCCTTTTTCCAGGTGGCAACAATATTATGTTTATGTTTAAGAAGTGTTCTTATCTTTTAGAGACTCATCCCGAGATATCTGTGGGTGGTGTGCTGCAGTGTTCGGGTGGGGGCACCCAGGGGCTCCGAGCACAGGAGACCATGGTCAGTGGCTCCTGCCGAGATGGCAGGAGCGTGGGGGCCGGGCTTGCAGCTTAGAACAGAGCGGTCAGTGCTTCTCTGAGAAGGTGATCTTGGAGTGAAGACGCAAGACCATGAGAGAGGGAGGCAGGTGCACAACTGGGGAGAGGGCTCAAGGCCAGCCCGAGTGGGGTCGGGGTCCATGCACCCAGCCTTGCCCACCGCACAATCCATTTGGCCTCGACTCTGAGTGAGAAAGCAGCCAAAGGCGTCCATTTGCTTGATCAGAGCGTTCTGCCACACTGAGAGCGGACTGGCCAAGGCCAAGAGAGGAGCAAGCAGACCAGTTGCCAGTTGGAAGTTTCCAGAAAGGAGATGCTGGTGGCCAAGGCTCTTGGTTTGGAGTCCAGCTTGAGGCAGAGCCCACAGACTTGCTTGTCGACAGAAAGATGTGGGGGAGAAAATGGCGGGAGGGAACTGGCAGGGTGAGGTGCCTTCCGTGTTGGGGAGTCTCTGCTGGGGGTCTGCATCTCGGGCAGAGGCTGGGCTGGAGGAAGTGTGGACACCAACATACCACAGAGAGTGGCCCTGGACCAGGCTGAGCAGAGTGCAGAGGTCCGAGCCTGGAGTGTGTTGATGTCACAGGTTGAGGGAGGCCACAAGGGGGCCGGGGGATTCGGGGGTACTCACCACGGTGTCGCCACTTCTGCACTCCAGGTGCGCCTGCAGCATCGTGTTCTCCTGAGGGGGCAGAGAGGTGTCGGGGATCACCTGCCCAGCTGACCACAGCACGCTGGCCCCACGTCACAAGTGAGGAGACAGGCAGAGAGGGTCCCCAGCATCCGTGCTAAGTCCAGAGGGCATCGGGGCCCAGGCAGCTCCATCCCCCAATGGCCCTACCCGCCTTGGGGCCCAAGAGGGGTCAGTCGTTGCCTGGGGAGGGGGGGTGGGCACAGAAGCCTCAGACCCCTGGAATGCCCTTGTCCGGGGAGGGGTGTGGTGGACGCACAGGTCCTATGGAGGGTGAGCCACCCAGCGGCCCCCATTGGGGTGTCCGCCCAGGTCTGCCGTCTGCACCTCATAGTCAGGAGTCACGTTGAGAAACAGCTGATTCCCCTGGATCCAGAACGCGTAGGGGGTGGACGACGGCCCGAGGGTCACCTGCTGGCCCTTGGGGACGTAGATGTCAGCCAGGGGCCCGCTCTGATTCGTGTTCTCCTGGACTTCGAAGAAGTTGTTCACAGAGCAGACTGGAAAGTTGGAGAGGAAAGGTCAGTGCCCTCCTGGCGCCTGCCTGCCTGCCTGCCTGCCGGCCACCCAGTCCACCTACCCCTGCCCCACAGGTACCCTGGGCCTGAGCCGTGGCCATGAGCAGTGGCAGCAGCAGGGCCCAAGCGCCCATCTTGGCGGCCGTCAGCCGGCCGGACCCTCTGAGCAGCTGGTGGTGGCGTCTCAGCCTGGGCGACCTTCGCCCCTGCCAGGCACCGCCCCACATTATGATCCTTTACAAGCCACCGGCCTCCACCAAGGGGGTTCCCGCTGGCCGCCTGGCCAGGCCTGGCCTGTTGCCGGGAGGGGGAGATCCAGTGGTTCCCCACCAGAGCTGGGCCACACGCAGGGGCCAACGGGGCTCAGCTCTCAGACATCGAGGCATGACGCTGAAGGCGCTCAGGACACCTGAGTGGGCCTGGGGAGGCAGCTGGGGGGCGTGGCTGGGTGGGCAGAAGCTGGGGCAGGGGGTTAGGGGCTGGGGGTGTAGGGACTGGGGCAGGGGCTCAGGCCTGGCTTCTGTGTTGGCTGTACCCACCCCTCCCTCCCAACCCCGGCTGCCCCTCTGCTGGCCCCTTCTGCCAGAATCATCTTGGAGCAAGGTTCAGGCCCCAGGTGTGCCCTCCAGGTGTGCCCTCCAGGGCACCTCCTCTCCCCACACCAACCGTCTAGGTCTGGAAGGAAAAGGCTGTTTGTGTCCTAGGGTCACCCCTGCCTATCCTGGAAACAAGCCCGTTTCCTCCGAGGAGGTGGGGTGGGCAGGGCCACAGAGATGGGGATGGGTGCTGGGAGTTCCTGGGGGGAGCCCGGGTCCCCATGGGTTCTGATGTTTGACAAAGGGGTTTCTGGCAAGGCTCCTTGGCCCAGGCCCCCAGCTGCCCTACCCCCAAGCCCCCCCCACAGCTGGATGGGGACAGGAGGGAGGGGCTGCTGTGATGGTGGGGGCTGTGGCCCTTCTGCTCTCTAGGCCTTTGCCTGGTGGCTGCACACCCCCCAGGCTCCTGGCCTCGCCCCCCGTGTGGGTGGTGCCTCCATGGCTTCCAGAGGCCCCAGCTCCTCCTGGGGTGCCATCGCGGTCCCCACTGCGCAGGCTCAGATGGGTCAAGCCATGTGAGACCACAGAGCCTGGAGAGGAGCCCCAACTCGCTTGGAGAGGACGCCTGGGCCCCCGGGTGACAGCGAGCCCATCACCGCTTCCTGCCCGAGCCTCCTTGCCCCCCAACTCCCTCCCCACCTGCTCCACACGCTGACACATGGCCTCTAGGGCAGATGTCCTGTGCCCCCCACCCGCCCACCCAGAGCTCCTGAGTGCTGAGCGGATGACAGGGATGCAGATGGGTCTCTGGGGAGCCCAGTCAGCAGGACAGGAGAGAGAAGGGAGGTGAGGCGCCCCACTGGCTTCCCAGGTTTAAAGGGCAGCTGGGTGTGGCCATTGTGCTAGAAGCTGCGGTCAGGCACCCCCCCCCCCCCCCCCGCTGCATTCTGACAGCCCTGCCCTGGGAAATGGCGCAGAGTGAGCTCACAGGGCCGGTGTCTGAATTCCTCCTTTATTGGTGACAAGTGCAACCCCTCCTCCTCCTCCCCACCCCCTCCCCTGCCCAGGCTCCACTCCGCTCCCCTTGGGGTGGTGGGGAGGTCCCTTCTTCCTCAGGACGTCTTCTGTGTCACCTCCGCTGCAGGGACAGCTGGCCCTGAAAACGTGGCCCCAGACCGGGATCCAGGAGGCAGCTGGGGAGACCAGGCCTGATCCAGGGGCTCCCTCAGGGGCATCCTGTGGAGACAGCCAGGTTAGGGGCTGGAGACTGCTGCCCACCTGGGGAAACGGCCTCCTCTGGTCACCAGCGCTGTGTCACCTTCCCACACCCTGCCCGCTGCCGCGACCGGTTCCTGCCACAGACCCAGGGCGCCCCGCGGGGACCGGAGCCGGGGGGCGTGGACGGCGGTGGTGCTCACCAGGCCTGCAGGGTGGACGTGCCCGGCCAGTGCAGGCAGAGGCGGCCCTCCGCCGGCGTGGTCCGGCTCGTGCTGTTCTCTGTGTCCTGCTCGCTGCCCCCCGCCCCAAGTCAGAATTAGTCCTGGCGGGGGGGGCGCCCACCCGCCGCCGCTCCCCGCTCCCAGGGCTAGCGCCCGCAGCCCTCACCTGCGCTTCCCCACCAGGCCCTGGAGCAGCCGCTGCAGCCGCGCGCTGTCCCGCAGGCGGCTGAGCTCGCTGGTGAACGTCCCATCCGAGTGCCGCGGGGCCCTGCGGGGGGCGGGGGGGCGGCGGGCCGTTTCAGGGCGGGGCGCGGGCGCGGGGGGCGGGGCGCGCGCCGCGGGGGGCCGGGGGCGGGGGCGGGGGGCGTCCGAGGAGCGGGCGTGGGTCCCGGGGGGCCGCGGGCTCACCTGGGCGGCGGGGGGGCGGCGGGCCGTTTCAGGGCCGGGCGCGGGCGCGGGGGGCGGGGCGCGCGCCGCGGGGGCCGGGGGCGGGGGCGGGGGGCGTCCGAGGAGCGGGCGTGGGTCCCGGGGGGCCGCGGGCTCACCTGGGCGGCGCGGGGGGCGCGGCCGACCCCCGGAGCAGCAGCGGCAGCAGCAGCAGCAGGGGCGGGATGGCCATGGTGGGCGCGCCGGGGGAGCCGAGCGCCGCTGCCGCCGCCTGAGCCCCGCGCGGCCCCTTTATAGCGCCCGGGAGCGGGACATCGATCGAACCGGAAGGTCAGAGCCGCCCACCCAGCTGTCGCCCCGGCCGGCCGCCCGCCCCCACCGCCGCGTCGGCGCCCCTTGGCTGGGGGGGGGGGGGCTGCGCCCGGGGCACCGACGCGTGGGCCGGCGGGGGTGGGGGGCCCCCGGGGGTGGGGGGCCCCCGGGCGAGCTTGCGGCCGGAACGGCATGTGCAAAGCCTCCGAGCCTTGCCCGCAGGCTCTTCGGAGGCGCTGCGGGGGCCGCGCTGGGCGAAACCATCCGCAGGGCCCTTTCCGCGCTAGGCGCAGAGGCGGGCTCGGGAGGGGAGAGGCGCGAGGGCGGAGGCCGGGCGAGGGGGGGGCGGCCCGGAGCCTCGGAGACGCTGGGCGAGCGGTGGGAATGAGGGAGGCTGGGTCTGTATGCCTCTTGCCTGGCTTTGCCGCTCCGTTTTCCTGTAAACCTAAAACTGCTCTTTAAGAAAATCTACTAATTACTTTTAAATGAATGTAAAGTTTGGGGCACCTGGCTGGCTCAGCCGGTAGGGCATTCGATTCTTGATCTTGGGGTCGTGAGTTCGAACCCCACATTGGGTGTAAAGATTACTTAAACGAATAAAGTAAACTTAAAAAATATAAAATCTTTTTTAAATGAATGTAAAGGGGCGCCTGGGTGGCTCAGTCGTTAAGCGTCTGCCTTCGGCTCGGGTCATGATCCCAGGGTCCTGGGATCGAGCCCCGCATCGGGCTCCCTGCTCGGCGGGAAGCCTGCTTCTCCCTCTCCCACTCCCCCTGCTTGTGTCCCCTCTCTCGCTGTGTCTCTCTGTCAAATAAATAAAATATTAAAAAAATAAAATAAAATAAACTGAATGTAAAGTTTAACACAAGAACTACTATTTTATAACTTCATTTACTAGATTCATAATTTCCGTTTAAGGATTTCATTAGTACCGGTTTCTGACTTAATCCTATATTGACTAAGCAGGAGTAACGCGGCTGCCCGCCTTTTTCCCTCCGGTCGGTCTGCATCTCCACCTCCTGTCCATCCCAAGCCCGCATGCAGGCTCAGACCTCTCCAAGCCTCGGGAGGTTCAAATGAAGGGCGCCCGGAGGCTGAGATCCAGCTCTGCCTGCAGCCCGCCTCCACCAAGGAGTCTGAGGCTTGGGGTGGCCTCCACATCGTCCTGGCCTCCACCCTCGCGCCTCTCCCCTCCCGAGCCTGCCTCTGAGGCGCTGGGGCCCCTCTATGCTTAACGGACTGAGCCACCCAGGCCCCCTGAATAATAGACGCTTATCAGATACGTGATTTGTAAATATCTTCTCCCATTCTGTGAGTTTTCTTTTCACTCTCTTGGTAGTGTCCTTTGATGCACAAAAGATTTTAATTTTATGAAATCCAATTATCACTTGTTTTGTTTGTGCTTTTGGTGTTATGTTTAAGAAACATTGCCAAATTCAAGGTCATGAAGATTTGCTCCTATATTTTCTCCTAAGATTTCTACAGTTTTAGATCATATATTTAGGTTTTTGATCCATTTTGAGTTATTTTTTGTATGTAGTGTGAGGTAAGATTCGACTTCATTGTTTTGCATGTGGATACTGAGTTGTCCCAACACTGTGTGGAAGAAACTCTTCTCTCGTTGAATACTCTTGACACCTTTGTTGAAAATCAATTGATTTGGGGGCGCCTGGGTGGCTCAGTCGTTAAGCGTCTGCCTTCGGCTCAGGTCATGATCTCAGGGTCCTGGAATTGAGCCCTGCATCGGGCTCCCTGCTCAGCGGGGAGTCTGCTTCTCCCTCTGCCCCTCCCCCTGCTTGTGCACTCACATTCTTTCTCTCTGTGTCAAATAAATAAATAAAAATCTTTTAAAAAATCTATTGATTTTAAATGTACGGGTTGATATCTGAATTTTAAACTCTATTCCATTGATCTATTATGTCTAACCTTATGCCGGTACCATACTGTTTTGATTCCTGTAGCTTTGTAGTAAGTTTTGAAATCAGGAGCTGTGAGTCCTACAACTTTGTTTTTCTTTTTCAAGATCATTTTAGTTAATTGTGGCTCCTTACATACACTTCCATATGAATTTAGGATTCACTTTTCCATTTCTTTTTTTTTTTTAAGATTTGATCTATTTATTTGACAGAGAGAGACACAGCGAGAGAGGGAACACAAGCAGGGGGAGTGGGAGAGGGAGAAGCAGGCTCCCGGCCGAGCAGCGAGCCCGATGCGGGGCTCAATCCCAGGACCCGGGGATCACGACCCGAGCCGAAGGCAGACGCTTAACGACTGAGCCACCCAGGCGCCTAGTGGCTTTTCCATTTCTTTAAAAAAGAAGCCAATGGGGTTTTGATAGGGAGCATATCAAATCTATAGATCAGTTTGGTGAGAAAGGCCATCTTAACAATATGAAGTCTTCCAAGCCATGAATATTGTCTTCTTTAATCTCCCCCGGCAATTTTTTTTTAAGATTTTATTTATTTATTTGACAGAGACACAGTGAGAGAGGGAACACAAGCAGGGGGAGTGGGAGAGGGAGAAGCAGGCTTCCCGCTGAGCAGGGAGCCCGACATGGGGCTCGATCCCAGGACCCCAGGATCATGACCTAAGCCGAAGGCAGACGCTTGACAACTGAGCCACCCAGGCGCCCTCCCCCAGCAATGTTTTATAGCTTTCAGTGTACACATCTTTTACCTTCTTGGTTAAATTTTTCTTTCTTTCTTTTTTTTTTTTTAAGATTTATTCATTTGAGAGAGAGAGAGCACAAGTGGGAGGGCAGAGGGAAAGGGAGAAAGAATCCCAAGCAGACTCAGAGCTGAGTGTGGAGCCCAACAAGGGGCTCACAACCCTGAGATCATGACCTGACTTGAAAGCCAGAGTCGGACTCTCAGCCAACTGTGCCACCCAGATGCCCTGCTGAAATTTATTTCTAAGTGTTTTATTCCTTTTTTTTTTTTTTGGTGGGCAGCAAAAAAGTTTATTGAATGATAGTGAAATGTATTGAGTGATAGTACAAGGTTCTGGAAGAGGGAGGGGACCCTAGAGGGTTGCCCTCTAAGTATTTTGTTCTTTTTGGTGCTATTACAAATAAATTGTTTTCTTAATTTCATCTTTGAATTGTTCGTTACTAGTGTATAGAAATAGAACTGATTTTTATATGATGATCTCATATCCCATAACTTTGCTGAATTTATTTATTAGCTGTAATAGGGTTTTGTTTTGTTGGATTTTCTATGCATTAGATCATGTCATCTGCAAATAGAAATAGTTTACTTTTTCCTTTCCAATTTTGGATACGTTTTATTTCTTTTTCTTGCCTAGTTGTTCTAGCTAGAACTTCCAGCACACGATGAAGAGAAGCAGCAGAAGTGGGTATCCTTGTCTTTTTCTTGATCTTAGGAGAAAAGCCTTCAGTCTCTCACTATTGCATGTAATGTTTGCTGTGGGTTTTTGATAGATGTCCTTTATCATGTTGAGGAAGTTTCTATCTTTTTTTTTTAAGTTTCTTTCAATTCACAGTTTATTGAGACTTTTTATCATAGAAAGGTATTGGATTTCATCAAATGCTTTTCCTGCATCTGTTGAGATGATTAAATGGGTTTTCCCCCTCTGTTCAAGTAATGTGATGTATTATATTGATTGAGTTTTGTCTGTTGAATTACCCTTGCATTCCTGGAATAAATCTGCACTTAGTCATAGTGCATAATCCTTTGAAAAATGCTGCTGGATTAAGTTTGCTCATATTTTGTTGAAGAGTTTTGTATATATATTTATAAGGGATATTTATCTGGAGTTTTCTTTCTTGTGATGTCATTGTTGAGCTCTGAGAGTTCTTTATATATGTTGTGTACAAGTCATTTGCTGAAAATGTAATTTGCTGATATTTTCTTCCATTCTATGAGTGGAAATTTTTTTAACTTTTAAAAAAAGATTTTATTTATTTATTTGAGAGAGAGAGAAAGCACAAGCAGGGGGAGGGGCAGAGGGAAAGGGAGAAACAGACTCCTCGCTGAGCAGGGAGCCCCATGCTTGGCTCCATCCCAGGACACTAAGATCATGACCTGAGCCAAAGGCAGACCCTTAACCACTGAGCCACCCAGGAGCCCCAATCCTGTACCTGTTTTGTCAGATTTCTACGTATTTCATTTATTATTATAGCTGTTGTAAATGGTGTTGTGTTTTTACTTTTTAATTTTGGCTTCCAGTTACTTGGTGCTGGTGTATAGAAATACAATTGATCTTTATGTGTCAACTTTATATCCTGCTACCTGGCTAAGCTGACTTATTAGTTCTAGGAGCTTTTGTAGATTCCTTGGGGTTTTACTTAGACAGTCATGTTGTCTGTGAATAGGGGCAGTTTTACTTCTCCCTTTCCAATCTGGATGTATTTTATTTGTGTATTTTTTTATTGCTTGATTGCCCTGGCTAGAATGGTAGCACAGTGTTGAATAAGAGTGGTGAGAATGGACATCCTTTTTCCTGAGTTTAGGTGGAAGGCACTCAATCTTGCATCATGAAGTGTCATGCTGACTGCAGGGTTTGAAGACGCCTTTTGTTGGGTTGAGGGAGTTCCTTCTAGTTCTAGATTGTTAAGCACTTTTATCATGAGTGCATGTTGAATTTTGTCAAATGTTTTCCTCCATCAGTCAATATGATCATGTGGTATTTCTTCTTTGGACTGTTAATTGGTATTTTACATTAATTCGAGGCCATCCTTCTTTTTAAATTAAGTAGTTAATGCTATGAATTTTCCTCTGAGCATAGCTTTAGCTCCACCTCATAAATTTTGATATGATGTATTTTTATTTTCTTTTAGTTCAAAATATTTTCTAATTTCTCATTCGACCCATAGATTACTTAGAATTGTGTTAATTCCAAAACTTTTGGAGATTTTCCTGTTATCTTTCTGTTGGTTTCTAATTTTATTCCTTTATGGTCAAAGAACATACTTTGTAAGATTTCCATTCTTTTAAAAAATTTGTTAAGCTTTCTTTTTTGATGCAGAATATGGTCTATCTTGGTGAACACTCCATATCTATTTGAAGAGAATATGTACTTCTCTGTCGTTGGATGGACTGTTCCATAAATGTCAAATATATCTACTTGGTTGATGGTTATTCAGATTCTTCTATAGCTTTGCTGATATTCTGTCTACTTGTCTATTGAGTAAGGAGAGATTCTTAAACTATTAAACAATTCTTGCAAGCCAAATAAGCATTATCTCAAATGTTTCAAGCATCCCATAAAATTCTGCAGTAAATGGTTACAAAACTGGCT